CAAATTTCAAATCAAAAAGTTAAACACAATACGAAGATCAATACGAACAATTAGTAAACAATTACAACATCAATCAAATTGGTCAGTTAGTTGAACAACTCGAATTTTCCAATCACCTCTAAGAACTTATTTCCATCTGTTGACACAGCACCATCTTCTGCACCACTTCAAATTTCGTGCCCCTTTAAGTTGGCGTTCTATAATCTACTGAATAGTACAGATGTTTTTGACTCACGAAACAAACACCCCTCATACCTCTGTTATCAAATTCAGTCCGGGCCAGGTAGATTCTCGAAACCGAAACACTAAAAATTGACGCCCTTTCACTCTCTTTCAACTCGGCTATGAGTCCACAAACAGCATCTGCTAATAATCTGTACCTGATTTTTTAGTCTCAATTTTTTGAACTTTTTCAATTTGAAAACTGAGCAACGAAAATCTGCTCAAATAGAATTTTGTCAAAATATTGCAATCATACTCAACCATTAGAATTGTTTTGCTCACCACTTAACAACAAGTTTCAGAGAGAATCCTTTTTCTTTTCAAGATTTAAGGGCTCTTGCGAAATGTAAAGGTAAATTCTACAAAATTTCAGTAATTATCATTTTTCACACCAACAATTTTGGACCAAATTTGTAAAAGATAGAGAGGCTAAATTGAAAGTTTCAATATGTATTACATAGATTTCATTAATGAAATTCGTTTCATTAATTCCTACAGTATAATTTTCCTTTAAGTGTCATCACAAAAAATCATTTGAAAAGCATACATGACAATTTTCTGTCAAATTACTCACGTAATTTGATATTGGAGAAAGTCTAGAAAGTCGAAACATTGGTCAAACACAGTCAAACATAACCATTTTCTTTCGAGTAACCCAAAACATAAGCACAGATGAAACATAGGTCGAGAATCATCGAAACATAATTTAAACAGTCGAAACATAAGTCTAGTACAGTCAAAACACAGGTCGAGCACCGGCCAGTTGTTTTCTTTTCTAGTTGAACTCGCGCTAAGTCGCGCTGAGGGTCACTCTAAATGGCTCTGAAACCTGTTTTGGATAGTACTGAATCCATTGAGAGTCACGCCGGTTAAAACAATACGAGATGGATTGAACAGTTTTTGGATATTTTTTACTGTTGAGATGAAGACAGTCGAACCAATTCTATGCGGGGTCCAATAAAATAAGTTTTCTAAAAATGCCGGTCGAGACTGTCTGTAAGAGTTTTGGTTCAGAAAATCGAAAAACATTAAACAGCGTTCAACAAAGAGTCAAAACAGAGAGAAGCTTGGTCGAGATGGTCGTAACATACCAAATTTGGGTCGAGAAATTCAAAGCATAACTCGAACCATCGACCCGAGCTTTTATGTCCATCGCAGGTATGCACAAAAGTAAGCACACGGCTAATATGTCATTTAAAACTAATCATTAAAGATAGTAGACAATTACAACTAAAACCATCAAGTAAAATTAAGTTCTATAGAACAATAAAGCCCTACACGTCGCCTTTTTTATGCTCAGCACATCAAAACAGCTACACTCGAATAGTATCACAACCAATCATGAAACAGTTCTTCTCAATATTGATAAAGCAAGCCACGCAAGAAATCACGGGTCTTTTTTTATTTACAGGAGAATTTCTATTAGCTAACTTCATTCACAAAAAATTACACTTTTTTTTCGGAAATCTTGTCCGAAGAAACAGACAAAAAAGTTAAGAAAGACTAGAAAACAAGCTGATACCATGTTCAATTACTTTCCTCTTTAAATACGAAAAATCCAATGATTATCACAATGTTTTTGAGAAAAAGATCTAAATGCGTATTGTTGTTAGCGAAAAGTTTTTATAAGTAGACAATTTATCACGTGAGCGGACTGCTTTAAATAATAAAAGGCTGCCCTTGAAACTTGCCTTATGCAGTAAATGGCTCTCCTGGAGTGAGCGCTGCTTTGTTATACATCACTATGAAGATAAATGTTAGCTGAAGTTTTTTGATTTTTTCGAAATTATGATCTCAAAAAATTCTGGAGTCTTGAAACGACGTATGTTGCGGTCTTTTACGAGTGGTTTTGTCCGACATTAGAATTTTGACATTAGAAAATTGACCGTTTTAAGCTATCATGCGTTTTTGTGCGAACTTGTCGCGATTAGAATTTTGACATTAGAGTTTTGACTGTTTTAAGCTATCATGCGTTTTTGAGCGAACTTGTCGCAAGTTTGTTTCGAGTTTGCGCAAGGTATTCAGCAACCTCTGCGCAAGTGAGGTTTTTCGGCTGCACGATGGTCATTTCATGAAGGCAGCAAAAATAGCAGACCTCGGCCTTAGCTGAACCTGTGTGTTTTTCATATTGCAAAACTTTGAAGCAGTTTTTTAATTTAAACTACGAACTGCGGACGAGAAACTTCTTTGCATAGTTCTTTTTTGATCCATAGATAGAGTTTTTAAAAATCCAATAAGTTAAAATTTAACTTATATGTTTTCAAAATATCAAATCTGACACCAGTAAATTCACACAAGTGCCAATATTTTTGGGTTGATACAAAAACCATTACGAGGCCAAACTGTTCATTTTATGAATTGTTAGCGACTTTTTCAACAAGGACGCTCCCTTTCCGACAAAATCTTTCCGACAAAATCGGCTTCCGCAACAAGGACGCTCCCTTTCCGACAAAATCGTTCCGACAAGATCGTTCCGACAAAATTCTAACATGTTCAAAAACTTGTATCTGAAATCCAGGAACATGCAGACACAAAATTGTCTGCTTATCCAGTGCACAGTTTGGCCTCGAATTGAATCAAAAAACTGTAAATAGAAAAAAAAAGTTAATCGAAGCAAAATTTCGTCCAAGCAAAAAAGTGTTAGAGAATCATCTATTTTATAAACCGTCGAATTTGTTACATTTTTCGAACAACTTGCTTTTTGCTTAGAGCTTTTATTTTTCCACAACGAATGTCATTTTCTCATTTTTTTTAGTGGAAGACATATTCGTTCTGGTTTCCGACCTGCCACAAACGGATTCACCGACACAAAGAGTGGCTCGACTGAACTTTGTTCAAGCGAAGTTCGTGCCTCTCAGGTAAAGACTACAAGTTTGAGCGGTTTGAGCTTTCTTATAATAGTCTTTTACGCCCAAATAGATACGCCCAGATACCGACTTTGAAGGTTTTTCTGATATTCATTAAGTGGAAACCGCCCGCTTAAAAATTAGATTGAGAACGCTCAAAAACCCATTCAATTGATTGAAAGCTTCTCAAACTGTTCAAAACTTTAAAAAAACTCCCCAAATTGCTCAAGGTTATTTAAATTATCTCGAATTGCCGTGTTTGTTCAACAAAAAATGCAACCAGCATTTTAAATATCCCAGACTTATGTCTGCCTGAATAAAACACCCTCGGGTGCAAAAAATCAAATTTTTTACAAGATTCAGCATAAGTTGTCACTTTTGAATACGTTTTAGGTAAAATCAAATTAAAACTGCTCAAAAATTTTTAAAAAACCTGCTTTTAAAATTTTTTGAATTTATTGGTTGTTTATGATGACCACTATTTATGAGTGGGACGTTTTTCAAACGAAAAAACCACTCAAACACAAATAAAACACTGTACAGTTCACCAGACCAGGAATTAACTATTTAAGTTTTGACTAAATTGAGCTTCCGCTTTTTTTGTGCTTTATGCTTGTTAAAATGTGTCGACTACAAATTTTCGAAAACAAATTCAAAAACATTGAATAAAAAGTTTCTTGGAATTCGAATGATTGATCTTATCCTTCTAATTTAAAAAATGGACATCCATTTTTTGTCGATTATCATTATTTTGTTCAAAAGTAAAAAAACAATGCAGCCTTAAAATTAAAAATGAGTCAAAACAAGTGGTTGATCTATTCTTCATTTATTTCAAGCGTTGGGATAAGAAAAAAACCAAGGTTGCAGCATGAGTCTTTTTAGATGTAGAAAAAAAATTAAAGATAATCGAATAAAAAAAGAATGATATGACCTTCAACACAAATCACTTGAAAATTTGTGATCGATAATTTTTCTCATTATTTCGTACTTACAAACCAAAAACAATCAACTTTAATGCATTTCAAAAACTTTGGAAATCAATTTTCATCTAAAACCAGCGAAAAGTATAAAAATGAAAAACTCAGCCTAATTAAAAATCAAATCACCATTTCCTTTAAATTAAATTTTGATATAACTTCTTCATGTTTGATCGAATTATTTTCTGTCATGTTTGTAAAAATTTTCAGTTATCAAGCTCTTTATTGCCTAGTAATTAAACCAAATCGTTGGAATAAAAATTTGAGAAAAAGTTTGAAGAACAATTACAGCACAATTAAATCAATCAAAGCAAAGACCGGTTACAATCAAGTGTACGCTTTTTTTCTTCTGGTATTCTTAAGCAAAAGATACAAACCATTTGCTTATTTTGCTCCGGCTTTAAAACTAGGTTGTTTGGCTTTTTTTTTCTAAATTTTCTGAGCCAAGTGCCATGACTCATTTGCACCAAGTTTCTTTAAAATGAAAGGAGTTTGAAGACGCTAAATTGAAAAACTTGGGACAATGCGTCAATAAAGTTCTAATTGTGTCAATAAAGTGTAAGCCGAGAGAAATCAATCCATTTTATATGAAAGCAAGCAACTAAGTCTCTTAATGACACATGGCCAGGCTATCTAGTATTAAAGTTACCTGCCTCTTCATGATTTAATTACAGCAAGAAGCGGCAAAAATCAAGAAAAAAGGAAAGCATTTCAGTTTTTTTTTATTATTTAATGGCTCTCTATCCTTAGTCTTTGTTATTAGCAGATTTTTGATTTTTGGTGTTACTGAGAGAGTGGACAAATGGTTTTACTGATTCCTTCGTCAGACACGCTTTTCTCGACTTTTAAATTTATTTTTTCATTTTTTGTTACCACAGAGTGAGTGGCCAATTAGTTGTACTCTGAGTGGTTTCTTCGCCAGACAAATTATGAGTTTTAACTTTCTCTTCCTAACTATTTTTTCTCAACCTATCAACTGGTAAAGTTGCCTGACGAAGAAACCACGCCGAGTACAACTAATCGTCCATTATCTCAGTAATCTTGAAAAATGAAAGAACCTGCTCGTATCTCTTTGAAATTAACAACAAAATTAAGCAGAGAAAATCAGATCTAACATATATTGGGGCAAAGTTTTCATGAGGTACTTGTCCTAAAAAATTGCTTGCTTCCATTAAAATTTTGAATGATTTCTCACCGCTTACGCTTTAACGAGACAATCTCAATTGAGAGTGTATCATCCCAAACTTTTCAAATTACAATTTTTTAAACCCCCATAATTTTAATGAAGGGGGTTGCAGATGAGTTATGGCATGTGGTTCAGGTGATCTAAAAAAAACCGCCAAAAATGGCATCTTTTAAGGTAATAGCAGAAAAATTTCAGGGAGAACGTTTTGAATGTTTTTGTAAGATTACCATAAGACACTCATTGAGCTTGCCCGTTACAAATGACTGCTTAGTTTGATCTAACGTCCTGCAGTTGTTCTTCAATTATTAATCCCAAAAACATTTAATAAACCTATTTGGTTTGAAAAGAAGAAAATACCGAGCATGATTGACCGAGAAGTTTTACTGATACGACTGAAAACAATTAGATCAATCATGTAGAAATTGTGTCAAAATTGATCTCGAAAAGAATTTTTTGTGTACGTTTTGAATAAGCTGACCCTTATTTAATTTTTGCTGCTCATAGGGAAAAATTGTTTTTCGATATTTTTTTTTGTTTTATTACCATTCGATTTTCATTGATTTGTTAGTTTAAGAAAATAGAAAATTTTTCGGTTACAATTTTTCAAAGAGTTCGTTTAATTGATCAAATCAATCTCATTGAAAAGATACATGTCGTTTTTATTTGATTTTTTCTATACTCACGCTTGAATTAGAAGAAAGGATGGAATAATCACATACAGAATTTTTTTCTTCCAATTTTAATTCACACCTGAAATAATCGGTTCAAAAAAAACAACTAAAATAAAATTTTATGGATATAATCTGCAATTTAATTTAATTTCGAGATATTGGTTCAGATTTTTTTGTGCAATTTGAATTTAACTTATTTATGGGAGCATTTAAGAAGAGTAACTTAGAATTGTGTCAACTTTTATTCTAAGTGTTCTTTAGAAATCATATAAAAAAACGTGAGAAAAGCCAAATCTGAATTTTTTTGCTAGTTTTAAAATGTTATCATATAGTTACAAACAACTCTTTGATTTTAAAAAAATCGTTTTTTGGTGAAAACAATTCGACTTTTTTAATTTTAACCATTATTTTTTTTCATCTTAAATTTAGGTGCTTTAACACAAATTTTTCATGGTTTTGAAATGTAAATATTTTCCAAAAACCTTCTGACCAGCAAAAACCCTGGACCAGCAAAAACCAGCAAAAACCAGCAAAAATCAATTAAAAAACGTCAGTCAAAATTTGCGGTTAAAATTATCAGTTCTTTTTTTTAAAAAACCGGTTTTCATTTAGAAAAATTTTTTGAGACTTAATTTTCCCAAACTGCTTATAGAATTTGTTTTGCTCCCTCACAACTCGAATGGGTGTTTGTGTTTTAACCTTCAAGTTTTGTAAAAAAAACTTATAGAAAGCCATACCCTAGGGCTCTCTGAATGCGAATTTGGCAAGGTTTTATTAGTTTCGTCAAATTTTTTGAGAAATGTTTTATTTTTTTTTGGATTAAAATCTTGTAAGCTTTTTCTAGCAAAAATCTTCATAACATTTTTTTCAATAGAGAAAAATTGCTTCTTATGCCAATCAGATTTACAAGTTGAGACTATAAAACTGTCAAAAACTGTTAAATTTTTCTAATCACGTTGAAATTTTACTGATGATGTATCATTATAGAAAAATTTTTTCTTAATTTGCAATCATTGACTTTTTATCAACCTTTAATAATAAAATTATAATTATTCAGCGGTAAAATATCGAGCATTTTTTAAATACGTTTTTTGGACTAAAAAACATTGCTTTTTGTTTTGATTTCTTTTTCAAACAGTAATTCTAAAATAATTGCCTCAAAATTTGTCCTAAGTGTCCTAAATAATCAAAGTGTCCAAAATAATTTCGCTTTGTTCGCCCTCGTAGTGTTTTCTGTATAAATTGCATTTGAAAAAAAAACGAAAACTAGCTATCAATAATATCGAAGGCACTGAAACTAGGAAACCAAACAAAAACTGAAAAATTAAGGTTTTCGTGAACTTGCTTTATTACTGCGATTAGAATATATTTACAAAATGAAAGTGTTTTCTTAAAATGTTATTGCATCCAAGTGAGTAAACATTTGAATTGCGCGTGGCAGCGACGCGTATGCAAGAAGATGCTACGCCCCAGTTTTGTATACAGATTGACTTTGTTTCCAGCTTTGGACTTCACGATGGGTATTTCACGAGTGATATCGCGCTTATCAAACTTCTTCATCCGATTAGGAACGCTCGTCGTTTTTTGCCCATATGTACTGATCTTAATTACAACCTTCACCCAGACATTCTAGGGAAAAAAAATCAACAAGACGGAAATAGCTGACTGAAGCGACCTAAAACACTGTACAGGAATAGTTTTTAGTTAAGGGCTATTCGGTTCTTGACAACCAAAGTTATAAGAATGTAAATGTTTAAAGTCCGGAAAAATACTGCTTTTGAAAAATATTCAGAATAATGGAAAACAAATCTGACAAAATATTTATCAAGTTATCAAGTTTCAGCGGAAATCCAACCCATCATAGTCACAACTTTAAATTTTTTCCAATTTTACAAACTTTATCCTAGTTTTTTGCCCAAATAAAAAAAACAGCGCGTATTATTTACAAAATGAGAAACGATTTAGACAAATAAACAAACTGAGTATTCAATTTCTGATAGCATGCTTCGAAAATTAACACATCTGGGAAGACAAAAACAATTTCTGCTTTTTATCAATTTTTGACAGATGTTTTTTTTAAAATGCCACATTGATCGAATTGTTAAAACAATTGCTCAGCTATTTCCAATTGAATTTCAACTGTTAGGTTCATGTGGTATGGGATCAACCTCACATTATACTTTCGTCTATCCAACTGTTCTACAGGAAAGTTTCAGCCCTTTCTAGCAGTGATTTGATATTTAGATAGATTATACGATCATATAAAAATGTGCAATGTCAGTTTTTTCTTTAATGAAATTTCAGTGTGAACAAAATGCGTCATCTGTTTTTTACATCGTCAATTTAGATAGAAAATTGTTATTTAAATTTTGAATTAATTCCATGAAAGAAGGATATTAGAGTTCTTTTAAGTTTTTTAATGGAAAACAACAAAAAGGGCTTAAAAAACATACAGGAAGCATTTTTCGTTCAAACATTTTTGGAGCCAAGTACGCCTAATCTGGAAATTCGACAGTGTCGACATGATAATATTTGTGTAGAAAGTGCAATTCAAAACTCCAATATTTGTTATCTGGACGATGGAAATCCATTGTACACATTCCACTGTGGAACCTTGACACCGAAATGTATATTTGGGGTCGCCAGCTACTACAAAAACCAAGGACAATTTTGTGACGGTGGCAGTTTCTTTGCTAATGTACCTTTGTTTGCACGTTGGATTAACTCAACAATGATTTCCAATTAGGTTTCGGTTGTACAGATTTTGGTATATTTTTGTTAATATAATAAGCAAGAGTATCAAAACTGATCGCAACACAAAAAGTCAATTAAAATGTTAGTCTATTGTTTTTAATCCACTGCCACGGGAAACCATAAATGTTTTTATCATCTTACTTTTCATAATTGTTTTTGGTCCTAAAAAACGAGCATCAAGAAATGTCTTATATACGAAGCCCGCAGTTTGACGCGCAAACTTACAAAATTAGCTTGCATTTTAAGTAGCGCCATCATAATGTCAGATTTATGACAATAAGTTTTTCTGCGTTAAAAATTGAGGTAATTTAAAACCGTCGCCGGTTTTTATACCAAAATAAAAACGCCTAAGGCTTACTTTAATTTATAAAAACAAAGTGTATTGTTATCTTTCTTTGTCTTGCGTAAAAAAATTTTGTCTGGACTACGTTATAGGTGAAGATGTGGCATATTTGTTTACCAAAATGTTTTGTTTTCTTCCTTCTCGAAAAAAAAAACAATTTTTCAACAGGAGAAGAGCACCATATTTCATTCCGAACGCCTTTTATTCAAATAAATGAAAAATTTTGTCATAACACTTCCGTCAATTTGATTTTTTGCAGTAGGAACTCGACGATTTTTTTTTTAAAATTGCTTATAATCCGTGTTTCATTGCATAAACTTAAAGAAAACAAATTACTAGAGATTTTATGCATTCGCTTCAAAAGTCAAAAAGCCCGCAAAACTCTCAAAAAGTCCCTTTTTATTCTAATTATTGTCTCTATTTTGACTATTTCAAATTTCGAGGAGTTCGCACTTTTTCTCACTCTTCTCTCTGTGTATTTCTACCTATTACAAATTATTACTAGCCTATTACAAACAAACTATATTCGGACTGTGTGTTTTCTTCATCCTTGCGGTCGGAACTAACTGTGCAGTCGGTAAGCGCCCAATTGGGTGTCTTTAGATCACTGAAACACAGAGACGAATTTGTATAATTTTTCCAATTTTTCCGTGGATCCCATTTACAGATTTTATGTCTATTCCGCGCACAAATAACTGTAACGTAAGGCCATATGGAAGAATTTCCAATTCCAATTCGGAGTCTGGGTAATTGACCCAGGTTTTTGACTTCCTGTTTTTTGCTGCGTCTTGTCGATGTTTGGATCCTTTTTCTTACTTGGATCTGCTATTGTAGGCGAACTCGGCTCAACCATTGGACAACTCTCCTAGTGTATTGAGAATATCTTCTTTGCAACTCCGAAACTTCTAAGCATCAAACTCTTTGCTAGGGTTATCTTACGCTTAAATCTTCCCCGATGTTTAATTAAGCTATACTTAATGTTACGTTTCTTTTATGGTCTGAAATAAAAGTTCTGTCCACCCATTGTTTCGTCCTTACACAATTTTTGCATTCCTGGTGTCCTCGAACTCCCGTCCTCTGTCACCAGATTCTCTGTGACTCGCATCGGATGTTTTTTTGGATATCATGTTGCAATTTGTTTTCGGGGAGTCAGGTATCTTGCTAAGAAGTGACTCGTCTTTGTCAGAACAAGCAGATTTTTGGCGAATCACCCTTTCCCTTTTATGATTCTGAAGTAACAGTTTTTTGTTTAAATTTCTAAGCACGGTGTTTGCTTTGAGCCACTGATGTTCTTCAAAGGGCAGCGTTGGGTGCAAACAAGAACTCCTCGGGGGCACGTTTGGCCATAGACTCCCAGTTGCAATGTTCTTTCTCTTTTGCATAAGTCTGTAAAAAACTTTCAAGCGTCCAATGAAGCGTTCGACGCACCCGGTCGCCCTTTGATCATTTACTGGCGGTTAATCTACCCCATAATCCTAAATGTTACAGAAAATTAAACCGTTTTTGATGTGAATTTAGACCTTTGATTCAAATAGACATTCCGAGGGACCCCATTTTTTGTTATGTGTTTAGTTATGATTTTGAGGACATTATCTGGCATATTGTTATCACATAGAGGCCGAAGTTTAACACGAGAAGCAAAATTGGTTCTAAATAAATAGTAAACTCCAGAACAGGAACAAGCCTGCCCTTTCCCACTGTAACTACCCGATCAGATAGACCCCCACAAAAAAATTTCATTGGTTGTGGATATTTTAATTTTTTTCCAGTTTTAATCTGGTATTGCTTCAATGAGATAGAGTCAAATTTTTAAATTCAGATATCTATAAATATCAAACAAGACTGTTCGTATCAGGGCGAAGCCCTGAAAGTTCCGACTGCCTATTAACGTTTATGGAGCAGTTACAACATAAACAAGACTGCTCTTATCAGGGCGAAGCCCTGAATGTTCCGACTGCCTTTTAAGGTTTTATGGAGAAGTAATAACATAAAAAATTAAATGTAATAAAATAAAATGTGTTTTTTTTTAAATTTGAATATTTTTTATAAAAAATCAGCCCCCCACACGCCATATAAAGTACAAAAAATAGATTTAGCTCCTTGTAACAAACCAATTTGGCAAATAAGCTTCTTTCAATCAATTTAGAACGATTTTAAGACGGATTAACTCTCCGCTTACACGTTAATAGCGCGAAATAAATTGCGCATTAATTGTCCCAAATTGGCGAAAATGGCAATCATTAAACCCCAGTAACTTCACGAAAAACGATCACAGGTGAAATGTCTTTTCAAATTTTGAGCTCAGGACACCAATACCTTTTGAATGATATTAAAACATTCCGTCAAAAAGTCAAAATTTGTCCGAAGAAAAAAAAAACCCACCCCGAGCACAAATAATCCGTTATTTTCGTATCAAAAGTCGGAACAACAACATTAAAAAATTAAATGAACTAAAATAAAAATGAAAAAAGTTTTTTCGCAAATTTGAAAATTTTTCTTTGAAAATCATCCCCCACACGCCATATACAGTACAAAACAATAGATTTCGCTCCTTGTAACACATCAATTATGCAAATAAGCTTCTTTCAACCAATTTGGAACGATTTCTAAGACGGATTAAATCTCCGCTTACGCGTTAATAGCGCGAATTATATCGCGCGTTAATTGTCCCAAATTGGTCAAAATGGCCAAAATGGCAATCTTTAAACCCTCATTACTTTACGAAAAATAGTCAAAGGTGAAATATCTTTTCAAATTTAAGCTCAGGAAACGCTTTAAGCTCAGGATAGTTTTTGAACGATATAAAAAAATTCCGTCGAAAATGGCTAGTTAAAAAGTCGAAATTTGTCTGAAGAAAAAAAACCCACCTCGAGCACAAATATTCCGTTACTTTCGTATCGAAAGTCGGAACAATTACTTTCTTAATCAAGGTCAAGAATTCAAGAGTTAACATGGAAGTGGTCGCGTTTCTTAATACTTATCAAAACTAAGCATTTGCTCATCATTTGCATTGAAAAGGATTTTGAGTTAAAATTTTGACGAGTTAACCAAACTTTCTCCCTGCTCCATCTGAGAAAAAATCTAGAAAAAATTGTGTTTTTTAAATTTGTTTTATGAAAACATAGAACCTGAACTCAACTTGTTCATTTTTTCTTGCTTATGCTTGGAAAAACTTAATGTATACAATTGAAAAACCAAATATCAAATGACACTACAAAATCAAAAATCAATGATTGTGTATTTATTACTCAAAGACTAATACTGACGAGAACAAATTCAACAAAGAAAACAATTAACCTAATTTAAAGATAATGCCGTGAATAAACAATTTTTTCAAAATAGTCCAGCTTCAAACTGTTTGGTTGAAACAATCCTTCATCTCTGAAAAATGGAAGAAAACAAGTTTTTCGGAAAACAATAATCAAGAAAAAGTTAGACTTAAGGAGTTGAAATCAATTGAAACGTTGTTTCAGTAATTAGGTATAGATACTAAATGTCTTATAAGTAATTGAATTTATCATTAGAAAAATAAACGATTGCATTTGTCTTCATTCTATGTTTAATATATATCAT